GCCCAATTTTTGCTCAACAACAACATCAATTTGTTCAACTCCAATTGATTTACCAAGTAATAACATGTTTTGCAATTCCTCATTGTTATCCAAATGACAATTCTTATACCCCGGCAGTTGGTAAAACATAGTGATTGAATCAACAAACAAATCACACCATTTGTTACACACACATTTCACTAACTGGTCAAAAGAAAATGATTGTACCACATTTATCACAAACATGTTTTACCCATAGCAGCACAGCAACTGTTTTACAATTAGAGGTAATATGATAAAATCGCTAGAGGAAAAAGCTAGTTTCTCCACATATGGTATCGAAAAAATAGCCACTGCATATGTTTCCCGATAATTTTCTACATGAAAATATTTTTCAACACAATCATTAAAATCATATACACTCCTTTGGATAGCCACAACAGCATGTTCATAAGGAAATCCATTTACTTGCCACTGGTAGCAAGAACAAACACAGCGTCCAACATCAACCATAACTGATGGAAACGAATGCACCTCGAACACATCATCATTAGTTTTACTCACATTCCATGACCTACTAGAATTGAATGAATCTTGGAGGTTAGTCTCAAAGGTAGGGCAAATAATTCCATTCCACTTGTTTGCAATATCCCTTCGCTCTGACATTTGACACATTATTTGATTCCGAATAGTATCAACCAATTTTGTTATTGGAAGATTTCGTGCTTCTTTAATCCAATTGTTGAATGATTCAGCAGCATTGGATGTCATCTCGCCATATCGTTGTCCCCTAACACATAACAGCAAAAATTGTCACAATTTAATACCATATGTGACATTTCACATTGTTATAACAACACAAAAATATAAACAATGTACATATAACCATCATTATATTCCATGAAATACATAATTGTACACACTTTACTTAAAGTAAGCATTTCCCCAATGTTCAGGTTCCAACCTTGACAAGAAGTAATATGCTCGTTGTTTCCCCTCACTCTTCAACTCTTCTAGTAATGCATGAAAACCTGTCACAGTAGGTTCATATGCACAATCACCCAACTTCCGTATTAAGTGTTCCTTGAAACCATTCTCCATACCCTTCAACTTGTCCCTAAAATTATTCTTTAGGTGTTGTAAACACCATCCATGATTTGCTGATGGGAATGCCTTTGACATTGCTTCCAAAAACCCTAGATTACGATCAGATACAAATGTCATGCGTCTATCATCAACAATTACTTTTGGCAGTTCATATAGAAACCATGACCAATTCGATTCACTCTCCGAATCAACAATTGCAAAGGCTACTGGAAGCAATCCTAAAAACAAAACCAATGTTAACAGTCACAACTCACACACAAAAAGTAAACAAATGTAAAACTTCACATCAAAAAACTAAACAAACCTTGGTTACCGTCTTTAGCTGTTGCTGCAAGCAACTGCCCTTTGTATCTCCCTTTTAGAAATGTTCCATCAAGAAAAAGCAAAGGGCGACAATATTTGGAGCCATTTATGCACGCAGCAAATGCTACAAAAAACCTTTTAAACTGACTAGTCTTCAAATCATAGTCAATATTCATATGACTTCCAGGATTATAATGCTGAACAGCATCACCATACCATCTCAGTTGGTCAAACAATGTTAAGTAATCACCATGCATAGCCTCTCTCGCTTTCTCAACACCTAACCATGCTACATGGTAGCTGATATCAAGTCCATAGTCTGCCTTGAAAGTATATGCCACATCAGTGGGGCGGGTTAGTGGTCTGTCCCTAACACGCTCAGATACAACATTTGACACCAAATCAGAGCTGAGCCTTGGATTTTTTGAAGTACGAACATTAGCACCACAACTATGTATCTTAGTCCATCTCTTAAGGTAGAAAAATTGGTTTGCTCTTTGGACTCTACCATGCACAGACCACAAACATCCCCTATCATCTCTATGTGAGCATACAATAGTAATTCGTTGTGAATCGTTCTTCAAATATTTGAATTTAAACCCACATTGCACTGCATATTTGCATAAAACAGTATGAAACTCAAATACTCCTCCTGTGAAACATTGACCAACATGTGTAATACCATTTGCCCAAACTGAAGACAACAAAACCTTCTCACTGTGTGCACAATATCTACGAAGCAAATTTGTTTGATCCTCATCATCAATGCATGGATTTGCTAAACTATTATGTCTATAGTGCCCAATTTTTGCTCAACAACAACATCAATTCGTTCAACTCCAATTGATTTACCATGCAATAACATGTTTTGCAATTCCTCATTGTTATCCAAATGACAATTTGTATACCCCGGCAGTCGGTAAAACATAGTGATTAAATCAGCAGACAAGTCACACCATTTGTTGCACACATATTTCACTAACTCGTCAAAGGAAAATGATTGTACCACATTTATCACAAACATGTTTGACCCATAGCAGCACAACAACAACATGAAAAAATTCATTTGTCTCGTATCACACTGCAAAATCATCAATAGTACATAAAATAATTTGAATATTCAATCACATTCATATGTGTGAAGATTTGCTAACACAATGAAATGTATCAGGATTTTTAAATAGTACAAATATTCACATCATAAAAAAAAAAAAAAACTCTACCTCCTCAACAAACAATCATAAGCCCTACATTTATCATCATACACACCACATACAACAAATTTTAAGCTCACAGTATACACACATACATACAATTTTAATTATAAAATTCATATACTGATAGCGTGAGCTTCCAGTTCACTAAATGCTTAACAACAGTTTGTTCAAACACTGATGCAACAAAACTTCATCATTCAAAATTTCACATAAACACAATGATTTCATCACAACAACGAATCAATCACTAATCGCATGACATAAACATCACCGTAATCAATTGATGATAAACGATGAAGAACGACGAAGAACAACGAAGAACAAAATTGATGATAAACGAAGAACAATGAAGAACAAAATTGATGACGAACAACAATGAAGAACAGAACAAATCACAACACCAATCTCAAACAAAAACTAACCTTCTCAAGAATATCGACTAATAACCAGATGAAATCGTAAATCGAAAATCGCAAAGACAAACCAGAAATTGCGAATCGCGCAAAACCTAAAGCTTCAATAATTGCAAAATCGCGCCCAATCTATAGCTTCAGAAACTACCAAATCGAAAATCGAAAATGGCAAAGAGAAATCAGAAATTGCAAAGAATCCATAATCCAAACGCAGATCGCTGACTTCCCAAAAATCATATTCAAACAAGCAGCTATATATATAAGGGTAAAATGGTCAAAAAAATATATAATAAAACTAAAAATAGGACCTCCGGGTCTAAAAGTGTAAACTTTAGGATTTAATAAAATAAAAATAAAAAACATGGATTGATTGGTATAAAAAGAATCTAAAATAGGATTTTCTGGTAATTTTCCCAATTTTTTTCTCAGAAACATACCAAACATGGTCAGAGTATTTTCAAAATCAATTCTGTTACGTAGCCCGAATTCACTGTGGCTCGACTGCCCCGAATTTCAAAATGATGTCGTTTTGAATTTTTTTTTTTTTTGCCTTTTCTTCTTCCTCCTTCTCTTTTCTTTCTTCCCCCTCTGCTCTACTCTACTCTACTCTACTCTTCGAAACAGAGGAATCAAAATCAAAAACTAAAACTAAAACTCAAAAAAAAAAATCAGCAAACCCAGCAACAGTGCTCTACTCTTTGAAATGGAGGAATCAAAATCAAAAACAAAAACTAAAAAAAAAAAAAAAATCAACAAACCCAGCAACAAACAAATCAACAAACCCGTATGAAAATCAAAATCAAAATCTCAAAAAAATCTTACAAATCACCAAATCTACACAAATCAAAATAAAAAATCAAAATAAAAAAAAAATGAACCCACAACAATAGAGAAAGAAAGAAGAAGAAAAGAAATAGAAAGGAGAAGAGAGAAAAACAAAGGAAGAAGCCGTCGTCGCCATCACCGTTGCTCTCCTCTCTCTTCTCCCTTCCTCCCTCTTCTCTCTCTCTTCTCCCTTCTCTCTTCCCTCTTCTCCCTTTTCTCTTCTCTCAGCTCTCTTCTCCCTGTTTAAAGAAAATAAATAAATAAATAAATTCAAAACGACGTCATTTTGAATTTCGGGCCAATTTGAGCCTCAAATTATTCGAGCTACCAAGCTTTATTCTTTCAAAATTAATTTTTTTAAATAAAAAGATATGTAAAAAAATAAAAAATAATATTAAAAAGTAAAAGGATATGTAAAAAAATAATTACAAATACTAGAAAAATAATTGCCTCTCTATTCTCTCTTCTTAGCTACAATAGATAACAAAATTTTCAAAATTCACTCCAACAAGATCCCTGTTTGATTCTCAATTATAGGGTACTTGATTTTAGGGAGCAGCCAGCCTCCAGTCTTTAATCGGATTGGACGGTGCTGTTCGACCAATAGGGTTCATCACGAGTCCCGTTTTGATAATCCGAACCGTTCAATGTGTAGAACTCATTGAATACTATATGCTTATAAAAGATCACGTTGATCGGATATCGATAGCTATCTCATCTTATCAATTTTTTGTCAAACAGTTAATTTGTTCACCGTCCATTTTTTTTTATACAAAACTAATTTGATCACATAGCTATCGATATCCAATCAATGTGATTTTTTACAAGGATATAGTACTCGACGAGTTCTATATATTGAACGGTTCAGATTATCAAAACGGGACCCGTGGTGGGCCCCCATAGGCTGAACAGCACCGTCCAGTCCGATTAAGAACTAGAGGCAAGCTGCTCTCTTGATTTTAACTCTATACTTGTAGGAAACACGAAAATTGCTTTGTCTCTTGCAAACCCCATGTTGAAGTACTCAATTGAAAAAGGAAAAAAAAAATTAAAAAAATAGCTCTATTGTGAAAAGTTAAGGTAGCGTTTGATAGAGTTTTAGAATTATGATTTGAGTGTGGGGTTATATTTTAAGTTTGTGAGTTTTTAAATTATGATTTGAAAAGAGAAAATTTGTTTGGTTATGAATTTTGAAAAGAGATTTAAATTGAGTTTTGAATTTTTGGAATGAATTTTTAAATTAAAAAGGTTGTTTGATTTAAAAATTTATAACTCATAACCAAACATACAACTCAAAATTCTAAAATTCAATTAAGAAAATAATTATTGATAAAACTATTTTTTTATTTTTTAAAAAATTTTGAAAATATTTTTATGTAAAATATAAAAAAAATATTGTTTTTTGTTTAAAAAAATCAAAAACAAATTCCCCTTTTTTTTTTTTTCAAATAACAGGTGCCAATCGCTTACCCAAAAAAAAAAAAAAAAACACTATTCCGATCAACTAGGGAGATGTCTGGGAGGATGACCGGGTAAACCCAATTCACTCTTTTCAAAATTCAAAACTCAAAAAACTCTCTGCTCTCCAAACATGATCTAAAATGAGTTTTGGAATGTGACATTGGAATCAATTTTTGAAAATTTAAACCAAACAAAACATTGAAAAATGCACTAGAATCATGTTTCCAGAACTGTTCTAAACACAGCCAAAGTTTTCTCCCCTATTGTGGAGAAAAATTTACAAAACATTGTTGGATGTGCTCTTAGATCAATGACATTATCAGATGGGTATGGCCCAGGAAGACCCAATCCATAGCCGCCATGGGCGGCCAAAACTACTTGATTTGTTGTCACCCTAGAGCCCAGCAATTAAGGCCCAATGGTGGGTCCAATTAGAGAATTCATAGGCACGTGTCAAACAGAGAATTGACCACGTGGAAGACAAAGATCTTGCAAAGTTATCGAGCCCACGCGCCAAGTATTAAATGAGACTGTCAAAGCATTAAATGCCATAAGACCCGTCACTCTGGGACGTGAACAAACCACCATGGCCGACGACGAGTAAATTGGAAACTTTCAGCCAATGGGACAGTATTAATGGATAAGAAAATGATTAGTAAGAAATATATGGAAGCTATTGGAAGATAATCAAAAAACAGGCTATTTTCTCACTCTCTCTCTTGATCTTCAACTTCTTCTCTAAGCATCCATTCCTTCTATACACTTAACTAACTTAATCATCGGAAGGTCCACAGGAAGGAACCACCCTCGCTTCGGAACCTTCCTGTTGGACTTGTTACAAGTATCTCTAGGGAGATGAAGGCTAGTCGACTCATGAAGTGCTTGGATCAGTCCGACCTATTTCCTGCCGACCTCACTGCATTATCATTATCTAATGTGCAGAATCTACAAATCTAAGCTTCAATAATAAGAGAAACCATGCACATGGTGATCTTTGGCACCATTAACATTTTTTTCAACATTATAACAGCTATAGTTTCTACATTTCATATAGAAGAAAATCAAAAGCCTATGGCCATTGCCAAAACAAGTAAAATACATTCCATAGTTGCATAGTACAATTAACCAAGGCACTACTTACAAACCATCTCAGAGAACCTCATTTGTTCAAACATTTTTCACATTCCTGTTTTCAAAACAAATAACTACAGCTTTATCCAAAACCAAACAACCATATCCAAACAAGATGTTAAAGTCAAGAAAATTTTCAAATCTCTCTCCTGTACGTCTCTCTCGGAAGAATAATCTTCACAAACAAGACATCCATGGTGCCTGCTAGAAAAGTTTCCTCTGGCTTCAGTAATCAAAGACAAACATGGCGGGATTATTTTCCTCAATTTATGGCCTTGAAAACACCATCCAATCCACAAATATTGTACTCACATGAACACCCCAGTTCAAATTTATCTCCCTCAAACTTTTCCAATTTATGAACATTTCTTTCATCCTTGCAAATTTAGGAGCCCATAATATCTGTTCCCCATTATTGCCAACATTTCTTTTCTGTTATTACACAAACAAAAGCACACATCAAGCAGCTCTAAACTGGGACATATTGAATCAAGTTTTCTAAGGTATTCATCACTCAGTCATAATATCAGAAGTGCTATCCCCTTCCTCAAAATTTGTTCTCTCCATATCAATATCCTTTAGAGAATGATAGTTTTTGGCAAGCGTGAAGAAGGTTGAATCAGTTAGCACAGAGCAGAAGTTGAGGTTTATTATGATTAGGGAGATATTTAGATAACTGACTCACGTACTTATCAATGATTAGAGTACTGAGATGATAGTATAAAAGGTGATCATCATCTTTCCATTTTCTTTCAAAATGACCAGTTTCCCAGTTATTCTATTGACCTGGCCTAAACATCTGATTCCATATCACTTCAGGCAAGCAAAACTCAAAAAGATGCAATACAAGTAATTAGGATTTGAGATTAATCATGATGAATAAGGTTTCAAATGGAAGTAATGGAGCAAAATGCTTTTCAATTAAATGACATCAAAAAACAATTGCACCAACTTAGATATTGATCAAAACTCAAATAGATGCAAACAACATAACATGTGAAGCTCAAGAAAGAAACCAACTTACAGCTGGTAACCACAAGCTCTATCCATTACTAAAAGTTCCAATTAAATTAATACATCTGCCTAAACGTTGAATTCTAAGAAGTTTCAATTAATTCAACAGTTTTGCCTTCAAGTTGACATCTCTAGAACACAGCATCACATATTGGATAGTTGAAAGTTAAAAACTTGACGACTTCAAAAAACAAGTCTTCTTGTCAAATTCCAATGCAAAAATCAGAGCAAAATGCAGAGAGAATATGGATTTGGAGGTTTTTTTTTTCTCTCTCTAACAAATACCACTTACTATTCTTCTTCATCCTCAAGTCACAAGAAGTCCTAGCAGCCTCTTTCTTTCTTCACATACAGAATACCTTTGCCAGAGATGCCTCATATCAGTCATTGCCCTCCTCTAGGATCCGATAATGTTCAATTTTAATGTGGCGAGTTTGGAATTGTTCCAAAAAAGGTCACCATTTCTCTGGTTCTGTCCCTTGTCAAATGCTTAATCTGAGAGCAACACCTCAAAATTTCCCTAATGCTCTCTGTTGTCAATCTGTAAAGTTCTGTAAGACCGAGAGTCTGTAAGTTGGGGCAAATGACCCCTATTTTTTTTTAGGAATTCATCATTTGACTCACAAAAACCCAAATTCAAAGATCTTATTCGATAATTCCTCTCCAAGACCATGTCTAAATCATCTTCAACCTGTAGCTTTAGAAAGCCCAGATCAATTTCTGAAAGCACAAGACATTCTTTTGTAAGAAGGAAGAAGGTTATGCCGGTTAAGGTTGAACACGAAAGCTTTATGTACACAAAACTAGAAAGATATTGGCATAAATCCCTTATGGAATCGTCATTGAGAAAATCTATGTCATGAAGTGTCAAGTGTGTCAAAGATGGACATGCACACAAGAAAGTCGAGAGTCCATATGAGCTCAAACCAGAATCTTCGTATATTAAAATCTTCTCTAATGGAATGCCTACTGTTGAAATGGAAGAAAGAATTCGGTCATGATCTCCATATGGTTGTAACACAATATTACGTAAAGATGTTGCATAAGTCATGGAATTCTCAAAAGTGAAGGAATCATTTTGTATGATATGGTACATTTAGATGTACCATACATTTAGTTATAAACTTATATGATTTTATGTCATAACCAATATCATATTAGTCATAATCACTATCATATTGAGTCATAACTTAGTTATATTCAGTTACTTATTTATACCATATTATCTCATAACCAGCCCTCCTCTAGGATCCGATAATGTTCAATTTTAATGTGGTGAGTTTGGAATTGTTCCGAAAAAGGTCACCATTTCTCTGGTTTTGTCAATTGTCAAATGCTTAATCTGAGAGTAACACCTCAAAATTTCCCCAATGTTCTCTGTTGTCAATCTGTAAAGTTCTGTAAGACCGAGAGTCTGTAAGTTGGGGCAAATGACCCCTATTTTTTTTTAGGAATTCATCATTTGACTCACAACAACCCAAATTCCAAGATCTTATTCGATAATTCCTCTCCAAGACCATGTCTAAATCATCTTCAACCTGTAGCTTTAGAAAGCCCAGATCAATTTCTGAAAGCACAGGACATTCTTTTGTAAGAAGGAAGAAGGTTATGCCGGTTAAGGTTGAACACGAAAGCTTTATGTACACAAAACTAGAAAGATATTGGCAGAAATCCCTCATGGAATCGTCATTGAGAAAATCTATGTCATGAAGTGTCAAGTGTGTCAAAGATGGACATGCACACAAGAAAGTCGAGAGTCCATATGAGCTCAAACCAGAATCTTCGTATATTAAAATCTTCTCTAATGGAATGCCTGTCGTTGAAATGGAAGAAAGAACTCGGTCATGATCTCCATCTGGTTGTAACACAAGATCACCAAAAGATGTTTTATAAGTCATGGAATTCTCAAAAGTGAAGGAATCATTTTGTTAACTGGAATAGGGTCCAGCATCTAGAGAAATCAAGTTTCGACTATGGCGTAGTACATAACAAACGCCATGTTCAGTTACTTTGCACAATGCACATTAAATTTCAAGCAAAAGCTCACAATTTGATGACAAAGCAATGAGAGATCAATCAGAACAACCAACCTACCCGATTATATCAATTTTACGCAACCGTCGGAGCTTACGTGACATAACCTCAATTCCAACATCATTCATTATGTACTTTGCGCTTTTAGAATCAAAATTGTGGTCGGAAAAGTAGATATCGAGCTCTTCAAGCCATGGTAAAGCATCAGCTATGGCAACAAGGTGGTGATTTTGAAAACACTTGGCCCGAGGACATCTTAAAATCTTCAAGTTCTTCATGGTCAAACCTAATTTCATAAAAGTTTTCGATAATGGGGGTTTTTGTAAATATTCAAGAGAGAGGGAATGAAGATCCAACCCGGAAGAAGTGATTCTTCGAATGGGGTAATTAACGTCGGCATTGTCACCAAAGACTGGATCATGAAGCTTAATCTCGTGGAGGTTTGTGAATCGTTGAAGGGCTCTAAATAAAGCCTCACAGTTATTGCTGTAGAACAATCTATTGGAGGCCACCAATTTATGTCGAAGTCAATTGGTGATGGAGAGGAATTGTATGGAGACCAAACAAGGAGATTGCAAGAAGTTGATGTCATCAGCTGGTAATCGATTCAGAATCAATTCCCAGCAGTCTTCGAACAACTCAGCTTCCATGATTTCGCTTTGAAGAAACAAAAGAAACCCAAACAGATTATCTTCAATTATTTGTTTGTGTATGATTCGGCAAGAGAGAGAAGCCTTTCACTAAAAACCCTTGTTCCACCATCATCAAATCACAACAGCCATAAAAGTAATAAAAGCAATGACTAAGGATGCCGGCTGTATCTAGTTTGGGCTTTATCACAAAGAAGACGGGTCGAGGTCAGATCATCTCCCATCCTTATCTCTTCTTTTATTAAATTTAAAATTAATAAAAAAGGGGGCAAATTACAAATAAAATCCCAAGGTTTAGCGTGTTTTTCAAATTAAACCCCAGGTTTTTAATTTTGACAATGTGAACCCCGTAATTCATTCCGTGTCACAATGTAAGCCCCCCGTCCATCTCCGTTTCCTAAAGTAACGGAGAAAGCCATTTTTGGCGCTTAAACCAACCCAAAACGACGTCGTTCCTTGTTGGACCCATATAAAAGTCTCCAAATCCTGAATTTCACCAATTAGGGCTACAATTTGCCCCAATTTCCCTCACTTTCTTTGATCTCATTGATTTAGGGCAATACGAACGACGAATCTGTTGCTGAACGAATCTCCATTTCAGCCATTACGAAATATGAGTGAAGGAAACAGCTGGGATGGAAACAATTGGGGTGAATCGACTCGCTGTAGCTGTGGAATGAAAGCTAGAATCCAAACTTCATGGACCCATGCGAACCCAGCTAAGAGGTTTCTTGGTTGTCCAAATTATGGAGTAAGTTTTCCTAGTCCTGTGAATAATATAAAATTTGTAATTTATGTACTTTATTTATTTAATTTAATTTTTTTTTTATTTTTTTCTCCAGAAAAACGGGGCTTATGGCTTCTTCTATTGGTATGATCCACCCACTTGTCCTCATGGTAGACAAGTGTTGCCGAAGTTGGTAGACAAGGTTGCAAGCTTATTAGAGGAAATGGTAACTGAGATTGCAAGATTAAAGGAGGATGTTCAAACTTATCGCCGTAGACAAAAATGGATTGTAGGTGGATTGATTGTTGCAGTGATTGTAGTTGGAATGTTAACAGTGAGTAGTTAGGGAATGTAGGTTAGTTAGTTAGTTAGTTAGCTAGGTAGTTAGCATTTCTGGTTTAGGAAATATAATGCAACTATGCACTTGCCAATGTGAACTTAATGTATAATTTTGAATGAAACGATGCTTGTTTGGTTGTATATATTTTGTGGTAATGTTTGTTTGATTGTGGTAATGTTTGTTTGGTTGTATATATTTTGTTTGTTTGGTTAATAACTCTGAATGTGTTTGACAAAGTGTCCAAGTGAAGGGAAAACATATTACAACCTTGTAAAAACATATTAAAAGCCATTGTTGAACCTGTTTCAAACCAATAGACAACATTGTTCCAAGCATGTAAAAAACCAAGCATATCAAGAACAGATTAGTAAGCATTGTCCAACCTGCTCCAAACAAATATACAGCACATTCCAAGCATATATAATAATCATCCAATTGGGTACATCATTGATGTCAACCATGTATAATAAGCATGTATAATAGCCATCCATATATTGCTCCAAACCAATATACAACTTTCATCATTACAAAACGAAACAATTCACCATCCATAATCTGTCTTCAAGTCACATGACCATTACAAAAACAAAAACAAAAAAAAAAACAAAAACAAAAAAAAAAAAAAAACAATTCATAATTATAACTTTCTGTTACCCAAAAAGCAACCTAAGAGGGGGGTGAATTAGGTTTCTACAAAATAAAATTAACTACTAGTACAATAAATTATTAACAAGCACAATGATAAACTTAGCAGTAAATGATCAAGCAAAATAACAATGAAGTATAACTAACATATAGGGTAAATCAAATGATTAACATATGAATATTAGATAGCTATAGCAGTAGTAGGAAAGTAAAGAGATTAGGGAAGAGGAGACAAACAGATTTATAGTGATTCGGCTTCAACCAAGCCTACATCCACTCCTCAAGCGTCACTTGAGATTTTCCACTATTTTCTAACTTCACAGGGGTGCTAGCAACTTCTTTATAAATGGAGCAATCCTTCACGGATTTTACACAGACTTCACAAGCCCAAACCCTTGCAAATCTTAGGTGATTTACAATCACTCTCAAGATTTCAAGAACACAGTGTTTGCAACACTTTTACAAGATGAAATAGTATTTTTGCTTTCAAAGAAAGCTTATAATAAATATCTCTCAAAGATACATATATAAAATGAAACTTTGATTTTTCTGTAAATCTCACACAGGAAAGATGAGCTTAATGCTATAAGGCTCAGTGTATAATTTCAAAGAATAGATGTGAGTGATTATAGATCAAAGAATATTTTTGATTTTTTGTGTAACTTGTTTACATTAGAGGCTTTGGTATATGTAATGAAAATTATAGCCGTTTATAGCCGTTGTATTCATTTGAATTTATAACCGTTTATAACCGTTGTAGTCATTTGAATTTATAGCCGTTTATAGCCGTTGTACTTCCATCATTACCAATTTGAATATCTTTCACTCCATCATTACAAATTTGAATATCTTTCACTTGAACCTTTTGAACCTTTATAGCCGTTTATAGTCGTTGTACTTCCATCATTACTAATTTGAATATCTTTCACTTGAACCTTTTGGTCTGCTGCTGTGCTAGGCTGTTTGAATCTTTGTTTTGGGCTGTTTGAACTTCTGATTTAATCAAATATTAAATACATTCTAACAACATTTAGGATAAAGGTTTAGGTGAGAAATAATGGGACAAAATAAATTTTGATTCTATTTTTCTCTTTCAAATAAATCATCAAAATAAATTTTGATTAAAATATAATTAAATAAATCATCAAAATAAATTTTGAATTCTATTTTTCTCTTTCAAATAAATTAAAACATAATTAAATAAATCATCAAAACAAATAAGTCTAACACTTTCAGTTGACTATGTCTCTATTCACACTAGCCTGACTACCTAAGACCTATTCAACTTCATCCCTTCTCATGGTTGCTGCTGGTGTTGATGTCCTCCTTGTTGATGCCTTTTGTGGTGGCTGTTGCTGTTGTCCACCAGTTGATGCCCTCTGTGGTGGCTGCTGCTGTTGTCCATGTTATCTACCAGTTGATGCCCTCTATGGTCGCTGCTGCTATTGTCCACCAGTTGATGCTTCCCCAGATATTGTATCTGATCAGAATCCCATGAAAGTTTGTCGAGTCCTCACCTGTAAACAAAAAGTTGTTAAACCACAGTTTGAGCATATATGGACATCAATTACAAGTAGAGTATACCAATACATTACTTACATTCTTTGATGAACTTGTAGCTCCATCCTTTTTACCCTTGACAGATCCCTTGCATGTTCTTTGATTATGACCATGTACACCACACTTGGAGCATTTCAGGCTGGTACACTTCCTCTGTAACTTGAATGGGTTCTGAGGCTCATCTAGGTCTCTAATTCTCTGCTTTTGAGGCCTGCCAGTTGGCCTTTTCAACTTAGGAGGAAGTAAAGGCTCGCAACCTATCTTGGGCCACTGATCTTGGCCATTAAGTGGATTTATCAGTGCCTCATAAGTTCTTAAGTAGGTCTCTTTTTTGAAAACCACATGCACATAATTCTCAACTCTCTCTTTTTGAAAGAAAATAGCAGCCACAACATGAGGACAAGGGATTCCAGTTAGATCCTACTTTAAACAAGTGCATTTTTTATTCTCTAAGTTGGCAACATAACCACTTACTCCATATCTAACTTCAAATAGAGCACCCCCTGACCAAGTAGGTATCCATACTCTAGATTTTACCTTTGACCTCTCAATCTTAGTTTGTATATTTGCACCTATTGGCCCTTGGTACTTCATCATTGTCCCTGCATTCATGTAGCCTCACCATTAAAGCCCTCCTAATCTACACTAACATGGTAAGGATGGATCTATCTCTAGCCAGTAAGACCCAATTGTTAAAAGACTTTGAAATATTGTTCAACAATCTATTACACTTTGTTCTTGGATTGAATGCATGCCTACACCACTGAGCTGGATTAAGTCTCATCATCCAATCATATGCTCTACTGTCTATACTATGCAACTTAGTCAATGTTTCTCCCAATCAACCCTTGTATATGCCTTTGCAGCTTTCCATACACAACTCTTTAGCTCATTCCCTCTAAACTCCTTTTTAAAATTTGCATAAAGATGTCTGACACAAAACCTATAATGGCCTTCAGGGCACAATTCTTTAAGAGTTGGAACCAGTCCCTGCAAAACATAAATGTCAAAATCATAAACCTATAATTGTTTTCAGGGCACAATTCTTCAAGAGTTGGAACCAGTCCCTGCAAAACATAAACGTCAAAATCATGAATAATGAAAAATAGTAAGGAACATAACAGAATAATGAAAAAACCATTAAACATAAATAAACCTTTTGTTAATCAGTGATAAAGGTCCATCCATGCTTTGCACTTGTGCCAATACATTCAAACAAATTCTCTACAAATCAAGTCCAACTTTCTTTATTCTCACTCTCAGCCATTGCATAAGCAATTGGATACATCATGTTGTTTCCATCCCATCCCACAGTAGCAAACAATTGTCCTTGACAAGGTCCTTTCAAGTGACAAGCATCCAAGCAAATCAATGGCCTGACACCAGCTAAAAACCCTCTTCTGATTCCATCAAGGCACACAAACATTCTCTGGAACCTAGGCTTAATTTGAAATTGAGGCCTCCATACATTGATGTCAACTCTTGAACTTGGATTGGTCTGTATCAACTCAGCAGCATAATCCCACAGTTTTGTATATTGTTCAGCATTTGTTCCCTCAAGTTGCACCAATGCTTGTTTCCTAGCTCTGTAACGTTTCATTTTGGATACTTCTACAACACAGTCATCTTTCACAGTGTCCGTCAATTCATTTATTTTCCAGGTAGCGGTGGTCCTGAATTTCTTCACATACTTAGATGCCAAAAAAGCACTAGGTTTGTATATCTTAATTTGTAATGTGTTCTCTTCACTCATCTTAGAGGCATAAAGCCTCCACTCGCACCCATCACTACAATTGACTTGAACCTTCCATGTCTCACTTTTAGTGAATTTGACATCATAGTCCCCTTTCACTGCATATTCTCTCATAGCATCCTTAAATTCAATGGCATTATTAAATAACATTCCAATTTTAAATTCAAAATTAGCCTTATCAACCACAGGCCTAAATTCAGGGTACTTTGGCTTCCCATTACCCTCCTTATCAGATCCTTCAGGGGTTAATAATTCCTCCTCAGATGAATCCTCATCATTCACAACATATTCCTCAAATGCATTGACTCATTCTCCATTTGGTTCCCACTTTACATTACCATCAAACATGATATCATCATCAGAAGGGTCATCCTCACCCTCAGTACTAGCTAAGAAATCACGATCTGATGAGTCATCATTTTCATCATCTTCACTATTTGCTTCATCTTCATAGTCATGAGACTGAGAATGTTGCGCATTTTCATCATCATTTATAGGAACATCAGTAAGGAACAAAACAAGGTAAGGGGTGTCTACATTGTGTGGAACATGATGCTCAACAAATAGTTCTAATGTGTTTGCAGAGCCTAGATATTGAAGCATTTCTAAAACATCTTGGTCAGTACCTAATCTTCTTAACCCTCTAACCAGATCTTCTGTGAGAATCCTATAAAAAAAAACTGTTTGAAATCACATATCCCCAACTTCTTCACCATATATCACTACAACAAATTTGGGATTTAAAGACGAAACAAATTTGTCCCAAAATGTATATATTTCGTCACTTAAACTAATTACGACGAAAATTTTTCGTCACCCATTTTGTCACCAAAGCGTTGTCGCTAAAGGGTCTTAGAGACGAAAAAACAAATTCGTCACTGAAAATGAAAAATTTGTGACAAATTTTTTTGTCTCCAATACACTCTGTTGGGTACATACTTGTAAGTAATTAGCGACAAAATATTGTCATTAAATGAAGAAATTAGAGACAAAAGTATTTTGTCATAAATATAAGAAATAAAGACAAAATAATTTTGTCACATTTAATATAAACGAAAACGAAAAATTTTTGTCAAAGAAGCTATCAATAAAGACAAAAACAAATTCATCATTAAAAATGATAAATTTATGACGAATTTTTTTGTCTCCAATACATTATGTTGGGAACATACTTGTAAGTAATTAACGACAAAATATTTTGTCATTAATAAAAAAATTAGAGACGAAATTATTTTGTCATAAATATAAGAAATAGAGACGAAATAATTTTGTCATGTTTAATGTAAATGAAGACGAAAATTTTTTGTCAAAGAAACTACCAATAGAGACAAACAAATTCATCATTAAAAATGATGAAATAATATCAAAAAAAATCGTCACACATTGAGGGTAATGGTGACAAAATGTGACAATACTTTTCGTCATGACAAATTCATTTAGCGACGAAATAAAAAATTCATGACAAAATTAATCTTCCACCTAAGCCAAGTAAGAGACGAAAAAACCTTCTTTAGGGATGAAAAATTTTGTCACCAATTCCATAATATTTTTTTCCACATTATATACCTATTTTATCAAAATCTAAATTTTAGTTCAACAAATAAAACCTTGTTCATGTTGAAACCTGTTGAATATAACAATTTCATCACAACTTAACCTAACCTGTCATCAACACATTTGCGAATTAAAAAAATGAAAATATCCATTCATCATTACAAATAATTTCATCCTAATACAATAAAAGAGTACAATATCCACAAAATATCCAAAAGCTATAACTTGTACAATTCTACCAAACATCCAACAATAACTAGTGCAACGCCACAAAGTATGTGTATCCTTATCAAACAAAAATGAACATTCAAGCAACTTACATCATTGTCGCACGTCAAAAATGCCACCTCAATCCAATCTGCAAAAAAATAAATTAAAAACTTTAGCAATTAATTAATTATACAAAAGATTAAAAACATTAGTAACTCATCAATTTACAATTAGATCCATTATACAATTTATCCCTCTAACATACTTTTTTTTGAGATTATGAGAACAAAAAATTAATTTTAAGACTAATTCACAAATGGTGCATCCCATTAATGTGCCGTAAATTCATACAACTTATATTGATCCCTCCTAAGGTGTTTCTGTTGGTTCCTATACAAATCTGTAGTTGTGTGATAATTTAGCCTTTCGACAGCCTTTTTTGAAGCTTTAAGTATAGAGAAAAAGAAATATTTTTTAGACTAATTCACAATTTATACATCCCGAATCCTAAATAGCATATAAATAAATTGTTCAACACCAAATCCTAAATGGCATATAAATAAATTGTTCAACATGGAGAAGGAGAAGTCAATTTTACACGAATACTTATCAAGTTATGACTCTAAGATATATCCAGTGAGAGGTGAGAGAGAAGTTACAACAAATGAGAGCACAATATAGAGTGAAATCCATTTACATGAATATTAAAATTCTAATAATCAAGTTATGTATGTCCAACATACCATACTCTCCCTATACTGATAAAGAAAGATTTGCCAATACAAATGAACATGTAAAGTAGAAGAACCTCACAAATACACCAAAAGGATAATGCTTGGATTATGTCTTGGCTAGAACACCATCAGATATCAAACCACCTTCCATTGAACGAGAGTAGGAAGGCCTCAAGCTTCTCTCTGGAGGCATGAAAATGAATTTTAGAATCCAAAAAACATCAACACATCAGGCATAGTAAAGTGATACAATAAGGCAATGCATTTTGTAAAATAACAGGAAACACAAGCTAGACGAAGTGCCATGGCAAAGTTGAACTTAGACATCACAAAATAATGATATGCTATTTCAGCTGATAAAATTGCTAATCAAAGACCATAACAAAGCTTCAATCAGGCATTAGGATAACCAAGGTTGAAAATTCTTCCTTAATTTATTGGTCATCCGATGCCTTTACAATCCCTATCACTTGGTCTTTTCTATTTCTTTATTTTATGACTTGAATCTTATAAAGAAAGGGGCACGCAAAGAAACTTTTCTTTAATTGATGACCAAGAAGCTAATGTTGACTAGACCAAAATTCTTTAAAAAAATTAAGATGACAAAATAGAGTTTCTAAAAAAGAAAACGAAAAATAGAAAAGGAACTAATTTGAGCAGATAAACAATGCATTATCAGCAAATAGCTTACTTGTCATAAAGATTCATGTGGATTGACAATGCTAGGCACACTATTTATGTATTGTACTCAGTTATGCTCAGAACTTGAGACTAGCACTAGTTGAAGGGCATACGCTTAAAATGTATCAGAGCATCATTAGGGTATAATCAATAAAATGTATGAACTAGTTGAAGATATACTCTGATTCTGTAGGCAAGAACTTGAGACTAGATATCAAGAATTCCAACCTTTGGCCTCTTAACAATCTCCAGCATTTCTAAATCCTTTTTTCCCCC